TTCTGTTCTATCCTATTCTTTTTTCTTATTATATCCTATCGTTCCTTCCCATTCTATCCTATCCTACCTTCCTATTCTATCCATCCATCTTATTCTGGATGACTCAGCTTATTCTGGATGACTCGGCTTATTTTATAGGACTGGGCTTAAAAAAGTCTAGATCTGGAGTCTGAAATTGAACTTCGTTCAATTTCCAAAGTCTAGTTATTATTATTTTTCTTTCTTCCTCTTCCTCCTTACAAGATTTCTCACCAACTAGAAGAACTTACTTTAAGCTACTTACATGATCAACTAGGGAATGTATCTGGGATGATGTGAAATTAGGTCAAATTTTTATCTAGGTCAAAGGTCAAGAACTAGGTCAAATCCAGTACTTTGTCACTTTTTTCAATTTTCTCGGTCGTCCTTCAATATTTATAATCCGGGTTTTTTTCATTGTGTTCCTCATAAAAAAGTAGGGGAAAACAGGTCGATTTAGTTTTTTGATATCTCAAACCGATTTCGAGATATCAGTGTCCGAAAACGAGGTCCAAAAAAAAGTTCTCCCAATTCAATGTCCACGCTACTGGTCTTGTAGGAAATTTTCTCAGGATTCCGAATCTGAAAACCAAATTTCGATCCGACTTCCGGTTCGGAAGTTATATCGTTTTGAAAGCTCAAAAATCGTTAAATTTGGTGCCCATGTTAAGTCAATGGGAAAAAAGATTTTTTTGAAGTGAAAAATACGAAATATAGACTGAGTTCAGCTAAATATAATGGAAGCTTTTAAAAGAAGGGGACCTCAAAAGCCATCTAGCTTAAAAATTTGGACACAAAAATGCATAGGTCAAAATCTAGGTCAAATTCAAAGTTTTTCCTTATTTTTGCGATTCTGACACTACACTTTAATTATATTCTTCGAAATTGTGTATACATGTAGCCAAGAGTGTGCTAATAGTATTAGCCTTTTGCCGTCAGGAAGTATTTTGACCCACTTTTGAGATATGGTGTCCCAAAAGTAGGTCAAAATAAAAAATTCTTCAAATTTAACGTATGAGTTATGAATTAGAGGTAGAATTTTATCAGGAATCCGAATCTGCAAACCAAATTTCGATCCGACTTCCGGTTCCAAAGTTATGGCGTGTCCAAAAAGTAGGTCAAAATAAAAATTCGCCAAATTTAACGTATGAGTTATGCATAAGGGGTAGAATTTTGTCAGGAATCCGAATCTTTAATTCAAATTTCGATTCGACTTCCGGTTTGAAAGTTATGGCGTTTTGAAATTTCGAGAAAAATCGATCTGATGTTATCCTGATAGAAAGTCAAGGAAAACGATTTTTTTGAAGTGTAAAATAGATTGAGTACAGCTTAAGATAATGAATTCCTATAAAAGAAGGGGACCTCAAAAGCTACCTAGTTTCAATATTTGGACACCAAAATGCCTAGGTCAAAATCTAGGTCAAATTCATAGTTTTTCCTTATTTTTGCGATTTTGGCACTACACTTTTAGGATTTGCTTCAAAATTTTGTATACAGGTAGCAAAGAGTGTGCTAATAGTGTTAGCCTTTTGCCGTCAGAGAGTATTTTGACCCACTTTTGAGATATGGTGTCCGTAAAGTAGGTCAAAATAAAATGAGTTATGAATTAAGGGTAGAATTTTCTCAGGAATCCAAATCTGCAAACCAAATTTCAATCCGACTTCCGGTCAAAAATTCCTACTTACCTACCTACTTACCTACTCGGCTACCTACTTAGCTACCTACTCAGCTACCTACTCAGCTACTTACTCAGCTACCTACTCAGCTACTTACTCAGCTACCTGCTCAGCTGCTTACTCAGCTACCTACTCAGCTACTTACTCAATTACTTAATCATCTACTTACTCAGCTTCCTACTCAGTTACTTACTCAGCTCTTTACTCAAGTAAATCAATCTGGAGTCTTAAATTGAACTTTGTTCAATTTACAAATCTAGTTATTTTTCTTCTTATTCTTCCTCCTTACAAGATTTCTCACCAACTAGAAGAACTTACTTTAAGCTGCTTACATGATCAACTAGGGAATGTATCTGGGATTATGGGAAATTAGGTCAAATTTTTATCTAGGTCAAAGGTCAAGAACTAGGTCAAATCCAGTACTTTGTCACTTTTTTCAATTTTCTCGGTCGTCCTTCAATATTTTCAATCCGGGTTTTTTTCATTGTGTTCCTCATAAAAAAGTAGGGGAAAAGAGGTCGATTTAGTTTTTTGATATCTCAAACCGATTTCGAGATATCAGTGTCCGAAAACGAGGTCCAAAAAAAAGTTCTCCCAATTCAATGTCCACGCTACTGGTCTTGTAGGAAATTTTCTCAGGATTCCGAATCTGAAAACCAAATTTCGATCCGACTTCCGGTTCGGAAGTTATATCGTTTTGAAAGCTCAAAAATCGCTAAATTTGGTGCCCATGTTAAGTCAATGGGAAAAAAGATTTTTTTGAAGTGAAAAATACGAAATATAGACTGAGTTCAGCTAAATATAATGGAAGCTTTTAAAAGAAGGGGACCTCAAAAGCCATCTAGCTTAAAAATTTGGACACAAAAATGCCTAGGTCAAAATCTAGGTCAAATTCAAAGTTTTTCCTTATTTTTGCGATTCTGACACTACACTTTAATTATATTCTTCGAAATTGTGTATACATGTAGCCAAGAGTCTGCTTATAGTGTTAGCCTTTTGCCGTCAGGAAGTATTTTGACCCACTTTTGAGATATGGTGTCCCAAAAGTAGGTCAAAATAAATAATTCTTCAAATTTAACGTATGAGTTATGAATTAGGGGTAGAATTTTATCAGGAATCCGAATCTGCAAACTAAATTTCGATCCGACTTCCGGTTTCAAAGTTATGGCGTGTCCAAAAAGTAGGTCAAAATAAAAATTCGCCAAATTTAACGTATGAGTTATAAATTAGGGGTAGAATTTTGTCAGGAATCCGAATCTTTAAATCAAATTTCGATCCTACTTCCAGTTTGAAAGTTATGGCGTTTTGAAATTTCGAGAAAAATCGATCTGATGTTATCCTGATAGAAAGTCAAGGAAAAAAGATTTTTTTGAAGTGTAAAATACGAGATATAGATTGAGTACAGCTTAAGATAATGAATTCCTATAAAAGAAGGGGACCTCAAAAGCTACCTAGTTTCAATATTTGGACACCAAAATGCCTAGGTCAAAATCTAGGTCAAATTCATAGTTTTTCCTTATTTTTGCGATTCTGGCACTACACTTTTAGGATTTGCTTCAAAATTTTGTATACAGGTAGCAAAGAGTGTGTTAATAGTGTTAGCCTTTTGCCGTCAGGAAGTATTTTGACCCACTTTTGAGATATGGTGTCCCAAAAGTAGGTCAAAATAAATAATTCTTCAAATTCAACGTATGAGTTATGAATTAGGGGTAGAATTTTATCAGGAATCCGAATCTGCAAACCAAATTTCGATCCGACTTCCGGTTTCAAAGTTATGGCGTGTCCAAAAAGTAGGTCAAAATAAAAATTCGCCAAATTTAACGTATGAGTTATGAATTAGGGGTAGAATTTTGTCAGGAATCCGAATCTTTAAATCAAATTTCGATCCGACTTCCGGTTTGAAAATTATGGCGTTTTGAAATTTCGAGAAAAATCGATCTGATGTTATCCTGATAGAAAGTCAAGGAAAAAAGATTTTTTTGAAGTGTAAAATACGAGATATAGATTGAGTACAGCTTAAGATAATGAATTCCTATAAAAGAAGGGGACCTCAAAAGCTACCTAGTTTCAATATTTGGACACCAAAATGCCTAGGTCAAAATCTAGGTCAAATTCATAGTTTTTCCTTATTTTTGCGATTCTGGCACTACACTTTTAGGATTTGCTTCAAAATTTTGTATACAGGTAGCAAAGAGTGTGCTAATAGTGTTAGCCTTTTGCCGTCAGAGAGTATTTTGACCCACTTTTGAGATATGGTGTCCGTAAAGTAGGTCAAAATAAAATGAGTTATGAATTAAGGGTAGAATTTTCTCAGGAATCCAAATCTGCAAACCAAATTTCAATCCGACTTCCGGTCAAAAATTCCTACTTACCTACCTACTAACCTACTCGGCTACCTACTTAGCTACCTACTCAGCTACCTATTCAGCTACTTACTCAGCTACCTGCTCAGCTGCTTACTCAGCTACCTACTCAGCTACTTACTCAATTACTTAATCATCTACTTACTCAGCTTCCTACTCAGTTACTTACTCAGCTCTTTACTCAAGTAAATCAATCTGGAGTCTTAAATTGAACTTTGTTCAATTTACAAATCTAGTTATTGTTGTTGTGTAGTATGGTTTGTGCATTGTTACCGTTTTTGTTTAGTATTACTTGTATATTAATATCGTTGTAGTGCAGTATTACTTGGACATTTTTATTTTTGTTGAGTAGTATTGCTTGTGCACTATTATAACTGTTATATTGTAGAATATTCTTAAAGTGTGCGCCAAAGTTTAAAACTGCGCATGTGCAGCGCTCTCGCTAACCTATATAAAGATATACAAGGTACAGGCTTCAGAGGTAAGTCAGGAAGGTGAACAATCTTCGTCCCATGTTGATTTCCCGTATAATCGTAAACAGGCAAGTTTAACCATTGAAATTGAAAATTACTATTAGATATACTTTGTAGATGTTATTTATGAGCTATTAAGTGTATGCATCAATCAAATGGCTCATTTTGAACATATAAAAAGTATTTGTGTTTTGTTTCCCAGGGAATTGTATTCCCATGTAGTACACACATAAATAGTGTACATTGTGTAGTACTTGAATAGCCTGGTTTATATAATATTGAAGGGCATGCTGATATGTACATGCATGAAGGCCTAATATTGATATTGCTTGCATACCTAAATAAAAATAAACTCTTCTCATCCCCTAATGTAAACACGGTGGTATACGTAGTCCGATTTATCGGAGACTTTAACAGTGGTTCGCTGTGCATGACATGATCCGTTTTAAAGATACTCATTAGTAAATTACCTTCGCATGTCTTTCCATCGCCAAAGTAGCCTTCATCACACGTACATGTGTACGCTGCCACTACATTGCCACACGTGGCTCGAGGTGCACAATCAGCTTTTCCATTTTCACACTCATTTTCATCTGAAAATAACACGAAAATTTCTTATGCTCAACCTCTTTCAATGCGCCTATGCTGGTACACATGATGTAATTTAGGAAATAGAAATATTGGAGGTAGTCGTCAACATTCTGAAAACTCAAACCAAAACATGCTTTCTATGCATAGGCCAGTGATTGGCAGGTATGTTATGTATTTAAAAATATGAAGTCAAAGCAACTCGGCTGTTCATTAACCATATTTAACTATATCTAATGTCTCCCCAAAGATTATTGTGCTTGTTCATTTATCATCAACATCGCTTGGTAACGCACCTACGCATTGGTTAAGCGCGTTATCCAATACAAATCCTTCGTTACATTCACAATGGTAAGAACCATCGGTGTTGACACATGCCCCGGGAACAAACGTTTCATTGGCCGTCACAATCTCGTCTCCACAGTTCACTGTTCTACCTCTACGACCTTCGCATTCATTGATATCTGCAAGTAAGTTCCATTGGTCTAATATATTTCGTTTCCACTTTGGGGTGTATTTAAATCCCTATACAGACGGCGCTCGGTGTAGAGCTAACAGACATTTTTGAATTTTGAATTCTTCATTTCTAATAAATGAAAACTTTGCATGTTATGCCATACCATAAAGTGTCATACAGTGCCTTTAGCATAATTTGGAGAACAAATATTTCCAGAATCGTACGAGAATATGTTAATACTTACCGATACATGCAGGTGGGTCGCCCCGTTTCAGTATGTAGCCAACCTTGCAATTACACTCAAAGCCTCCGTCCGTATTTAAACAATCTGAGTTTGCCATACAACTTTCAGGAGATTCGATACATTCATTGATATCTAAAAAAGATATGATCAAAATTTAAATGAATTGAATTAAAGGACATTGTAATCCTAAAGCTGCTCCTCTATCCACCTTGAATTAAAGAAAAATGATTACAATTTTAGATCCTCATAGGTCGATGAAGGATGCGATTTCTCCACTATTTGAGGTGAGTGTGTAAAGAGCAATTGCAATAAATTTTTACTAATGAATATCTTTACCTGTGCATTTGTGAACTGATCCATCAATGTATTTATATCCTTCGATGCAGTCACACGTATATGAACCATTTGTGTTTGTGCACGTGGTTGACATGACGTCACATTTGTGAAGGTTTTCATCACATTCATTGATATCTGAAACAGACAAATTAGGAATTGAAATTTTTATCAATCACCAATAAAAAAATTTCATGATAAGTAAACTTAAAAAATATATAGTCATTTAGTCATATAGTGATCTCATGAAAATGTCAAATTCATTTTGATTTTAAACGGTCTATATTATATGGGGTGTATTTTTGCTTCTAAGATTATATTTTTGGTTTGTGGATGTTTTCATTTAGGTTAAATCCTGACGTTTTTGTAATTATTGAAATGACTCTGTACCGACGCAGCCGTCCGCCTTTGGATCGTCTCCTCTGTATCCTTGCAAGCACGTGCAGCCGTACGACCCAGCATTGTTGGTACACATTGTGTTTTCTCCACATTCAAAGGCACCAGTCTCACATTCGTTTATATCTGAGGAAAATAATGGTAAATCACTAAATCCAATATATATATTTTTTATAAATTTATTTCAATGGCTGTGCCATACTGGCATTACTAGCCTATATATCAATTAACATATGGTACAATTTCCATTTTATATTAACATGTTTGGTATGAATGTAACATCACTGGATAATTTTCATTCTAAAATAAATAAATGTCAAGGTCATCGACTTACCAACGCATTTGTTGTCATCAAACCTCTCAAAGCCCTCCAAGCATTCACATGAGAATGTTCCTATGGTATTATTACATGTTGTAGATTCCGCATGGCATGGGTTTGTTCCTTTAGATGCACACTCATCAATATCTACAGTGAAATATACAATATATATATGATGAGAGAGCATTTACAGATATACAAAGTTGGGGTTTGTTGTTTTTATGTTTTTTTAATTTGGTTATTATCCCTTTATCTATATCAGTAGTGTATTGTTGCCAACTGTATTTCAAGATGATCTATAAATACCTGCATTCACTATCATCCTGAACTAGTTTACTGATGCAACATCAAAACTTACCCTCGCATATATCTGTTGGATCCTTCTTGTATCCTTTCTTACAATTGCATTCATAAGATCCAATTGTGTTATCGCATATACTGTTAGGATCACAGTCATTGCTACCTGGACTCGCTTCTTCAGAACACTCATTCACATCAACACAGTCCTTTCCACGTACTGACACATCATCTGTAATGAATTTAATGGTATCAATTTAGTAATACGAAATAAGGTAAGCATGCTAATTGCTTTGTCATGTTATGATTATTTGCTCTTTTGTGCGTTTCATCTGTCCCATCTTGGTTATCCTGAAGGTTTATCCTGGTCTTGTAGTTTTGGAATGTGCTAATGATTCCTATTAAAATGTGGAGGATGGGCACTATGATAAATGTTGATTATTTGTATGTTCGATCATACATCGAGATTTTGGGGCTTTGTATTCCATATGACTGATTCTAAAATGTCTCTTTTCCTATGTGCAATACTCTTCCTTTAGGCACTTGTGCTTATATATCATGAATGCTCGCCATCATTCCTTAATAGTTACCTGTTCTGTCCATGAATCCTTCCTTACATTCACACGAATAGCTACCATCCAGGTTGGTGCAGTTGGCATCATTGTGACAATCATCCGTCTTAATTTCACACTCATCGATTTCTATAAAAGGACGAAATGGGACCAGACATTATTCACTTTTTTGAAGTGAAATCAGTTATTGAACATTGAAACAATTATGCAATAAATAGTAAAATGCTGGTATGTGCTTTTGCGACCATTATCATTTTGAAATGTTATTTACCCTCGCATGTTGCACCATTTCCCATATAGCCATCAACGCAATAACAATCTAATATTCCTTCATTGATGTAACATGTTGCGTTTACGTCACACTTGAGTGGAGTGCAGCTAAGTGGTGACATAGGTGATGTACAAGCGCATTTTTCAATACAGTCTGGTCGAACAAATGCTGTCCCAACCTGAACAACACATTGAATAAAAATAATTATAATTACATTGGAACATTGTACAAAGATCCATTATTTCGTATTTAACGTATTTTTTATTTAAAAATATTTATTCTCTAAATCAAAAATCTGAATAAACTGAATAATTCTTCGGTTAAGCAGAAATGAGGTCAATTGACGGGGTCATTACAATACCTGTGGCTAGACAGACCTGAACTATTAAATACAATGTAATGTGGTACACTTACAGGGTAATAACTTCCAGGATTGCTCATGTCTTGACAACCACATTGCTGGAGCTGGATACACTTGTTACCTTCCATGACATATCCGGATTGGCACACACACCCTTCAACGAGGTTATTCGAATCACAGAGTGGGTCACCATTCGGGTACATACAACTTGGTTGGCATGGATTTGCTTCTGCTTTGTAAATCATATTGTCACCACAACTCACATCTGTAAATAAGTAAGGTATTTGTCTGTTAGGAAAAAGGTATTCTTGATTTTGGAGCCCTGTGTACGGAGGATGATATTGTATATTACAAAAACAAATACAAATGAAATATGTTTACCATTGCATTGCAATATGGATCTCCACATAGGGTTTAGGGTAACCTTGTAGTCTGTTTGGCATGTGGCAGCCAATCGGCCTACTGTATCACATAGCTGGTCGGGGACACGACAGAAGTCAGATTGACATGAAACCATAAAACCATCTGCCTTGGCTCCCATTACTTCCAAACAATTCTGAAAATGAACACATATAACAATCTTCATCTGATATCATACCGGTACACATGAATTCTGGTTGTACATGGTACAAGCTATGGATATAAACTCGTGCATCATCACACATATCCTAGGGTTGTTAAATAAATACTGGTACAGATTATCTCATTTCAAGATGATAATGTTAGCGATTAAAGGCAATGCATTTCTTTATACTAAATAAATATTATGTATTTGTTTCTAGTACTTTTAGATATGTGGTACATGGATGAGGGTACACGGAGCAGTTCTTTTTATTTATCACTTTATTTTCAGTCCAAATCATTCTTGCGAATTGTTGTAAGACTTATACTACTCCGGCACTCTCCTACATGGGCGTAACAGTTTCCAGTCTACAGTTTCCCCGTTTTTGGAGCTCACTTCGCGCGCAGTGATACAAACCCATAATATCCCACTCCCTCTGACATTTACTTGCTACGCCCCTGGTGACATCCATGATAAATTCATAATAATTTGTCACTATAAAGACATATATATTGCCTTCAACTCCTGAAAATCTCACCTTGATTCCCTCGTAAAAGTGAACATGAGAGCAAACATATATATACCAGGATTACTTACGGCAAATATCAATCCCATTGTATCGCAGTATTTATTTGCTTCATCCATGTGAGGTTCGTCAGGACAGACTGGCTCATCGGGCTCCTCGCATTTTGGATAACACACATTAGTCCTTTCATACAACCATGAATAACCCATTCTATTATGGGTATTGTTCTAAAATATATAAAAGCACAAGTGACAAAAAGGGACAGTTTTGTTAGAAAAACAAAAATGTAAGAACAACTGGTTATTATGGAACAATCCAATACATTTAATTCCAATTCCAAACATCGCATACAGTGATTCGGCTTATAAAGAAACAGTGCCAAGAATCCTCCTCTTTCTTAAGTATTAGAAGCACTATTATAGTAATTAGAGTATTCTTTGGCAAGAATAAGAGGAATTACAGAACTAAATAGGCGTTTTGTTTGCTATGTAATACAAGAACATATTTAGTGCTTGGGACAAGCAACTAAAACTTTGTTAATAAGAGTTTATTGCAAAAATATTGTTTAAAGTGCGCCACCTACATAGTTTGTTGCTAGCCCTCCAGTATCGTCGCATTTTGGTCCAATTACCAAATCATCCTCTAGAATACCATTGAAGTCTCCACAAATGCCACATGTCTTTTCCTTCATCTCTGTTGGAACGTTAACTTCTGCACTTGCTTTTCCATCCCATAATACTTCAAGCCCAAGGGACTCAGCTCTCACAACCTAAAGAAGCATATTGGCGGAGACTTTTGTAAACACATGCCGTAGCCAATATAAGTAAGAGCCCCTTGTGCCTTTTAGTACCTTTTAGTGCCTTTTAAGAACTTTTTGTTGCCTTTAATTATATATTGGTACTCTCTGTTACCATGCTCACGCTCAGAAGAAAAAAGTATGTGCACTTACACAATTTCTGTTATCGTTTTACTAAACTTACCACATTGAGGCCTTTATTGAATATTTGCACGCCTGAAACTGGCGACATCGGAAGATAAACTCTCTGTCCATCTACTCGAACCTCCTTTCTTTGTAGTAAGCCGATTTCCTGTAAACGATTGTGAGAAGTCATAAAAGATAACAACCGTAATAGACATGGACAATGTTCTTGATAATTGGACGTGCAGTTTGCAGTTGGGCACTCCCTCAGATAAATAAACAACCACTATAACAAACAACTAAACTAAATTACTATATTTTACTTATTAGGAAATGACTTACCTTCCCAAATACATTTACTTGTAACGCTCTCACCCAGGAACCGTGCAAAACATCTGGTTCACCAACATTCGTTATTATTACTTCAAAGTTTGGTTCACCAACGATCTGTCCATGAGAACAATTATCACGTGACATGACGTATGAGCAAACGCCTTGGAAATGCAGCATGTATCCATCATAGGATGAACAATGTGGGTCCCCGAAACACGAGCAAATACCAATTTCTGAAATCATTTGCATATTTGTAACACATATACAGTTGTGGCATTTAGAAGAAACATAGACAATAAAATCGAATTAGGAGCCCCGGTCCAGCCCAACCAATGATACAATGAAAGAAATGCGAAATCAATGTGAAATGACCTCCTCTTCCCTTATTACAACGTGTAAGCAATAATATCACAGCAAAATTCACAATTTGATATTTCAGCCAAAGAGTCTGCATCAAACACAACACCACATTCATTTTCAACGATAGTCATCAATTATAATTTATTACTGTCTTGGGGTTGATATGTGTGTATAACATTCATGAAAAACAAACGAGTCTCATGTTCCCAAAAAATCTTACCGTAACATTCTCCATTCATGCTCCTGAAACCAGGTTTGCACAGGCATCTATAGTTTCCGAATGTATTTGCACAGCGGCTGTTATCTGGGCAGTCATATGTCTCTTCTGCACACTCATCAATATCTACAATGTGTTATTGTTTGAATGTATATTATGATGTCAAATCGTATTTATGTTGGAAATCTCATATGCTAACAGTTGCTTGACTGTAGACACGCTTAACAAACGCAAACGCTCTTGCAAATCCTTAAATATGAAATTATTGTATTAGTAGAAAGTTCGCATAATTGTATTGAGCATACACCATATGCCAAACAATGCATTTGTAATATTTTTTAAATATTAAAACAACTTACCAACACATTTTCCAGCCTCATTCATTCTGAATCCATCTTTACATTCACACTCGTAAGAGCCATCTGTGTTTATACATATCGACACCCTCCTATCACATGCACCAAGCCCACATTCATCGTCATCTATAAAAGAAGTGGATTACAGTCACTATGGATTTTTGTTGTAATTTTTTCAGAGTGTACCATTTTCCGCCATTTTGGAACTTTTGTAATGGTTACACAACAGTTAGATTCATATGAGACGTATACTAACCGTTACTGGGTATGTATCACTGCCTCTGGCGTAAAAAATAAAGACTGATTGCAACTAATTTGTTTGTGAAATGGTCATAGACACAAATAATGAACTTATACCTCACTTAATATTTTTGTATAAAATATTACACATACCAAAACATTCTCTTCCATTGGAGTACATATTATCTGTTCTTCCCAATCCTTGGTACCCTGGGTTACAATTACATTTGAATCGACCTGGGACGTTTTCGCATGTCGCGTTCACGTGACAGTCATGTTTGTTTAGCTCACATTCATCAATATCTGAAAATGCAGATGTGATTGATTACATATCAACTTGCAAATATATTTTGTTTTTATGTATTTTGTATTGATATTTTTGATAGTACATAGGCAATAGGTATAGCTTGAATGCTTACCAAAATCTTCGTCTGCGCAATAAAGATCCCCAAGTGAGAAGGAGGCCTGTCCTCCGACAGGAGTCGTGAAGATCATGCTTTTGATTGGTAGGTCAGATTCCTTACTAAGTGAACCTGCGTCAGATCGCCACACATCATCACCAACTCGGCAGTTACATGATCTGTGAAATGAACAGAAAGTATATTATGGAGCTAGCTGTTAATTGCTGTTTTATAGCTACTACCTCTTTTGATTAAAGTGTGCTACCTTTGAAAGACTTAAACTATACTCACCTTTGTTCCATAGCAGCTTGACCGTCATTTCCGCCACAAAGTTGGTCATATCCACAGCTACATTGACCAACATTCTCTCCATAGCCAAGATAGCTCTGTTCCTTATCATCGGCTCCGATCCATTTTACTTCATTCTATAATATGAACACTAATATTTGAACATGAAGCTTTCTAAGATGTTCCAAAAATAAGAATACTGACAAAGGGAAACAACACCAAGCAAGCAATTTGAGCAATCAATAATATTATCATACATTCCACAAGGCTCTCAAAATAGCAGGTAAAAAGTAATTTGAAGTAGACTTACTGGATTTGAAAAGCAATCATATTTCATAGGCTGGTAACAGTACGATGATTGCCCAACCAAAGCATCGATCTGCTCGGGGGATGCTGTTGGGTATTCAATGGGCACAGTGTCGTCAGCTGGGGTGTCATCGGGAAGGTTATTTGGTATAATAGTTATTCCTGTGAAATATAATGTTATTTATTAAAAAAGAACAAATAGTAGAGTTACAATACCATGTTGATTACACGTTTCATTAATGAACGCCTTCAATCACTTAAAAAACATCAATGATCGATCAAAGAATATACATGTACTAATGCCAACATCCTTCTAAAAAGGATATGACCATCCGAAGTCCATTTATTCTACAACACGGTGTAGGCGACTTGTGGATACCATTTTGTACATTTCTGCTATATTTGTAAAAAGCAAAAACTATACCTGTTCCAGGTTTAGTGTCCATATCACATGAGACAAGGAAAGGTTGTACGCCTTTGTTTGGTTGAATCAGCATCTCTCCGGATCCCCTTCCCATTGCTAGTGCCTCATTACAATCTTTCGGCAGCCCTATTATGGAATTAAGTTTTGTTATTTGAATCAATAGTCATAAACACAAATGTTGTTAATATTTTTCTTTACATTTATTTTTTCCATAAATACAAATGTAAAATATTGACAGGTGTTTTGAAACATGACTTTACTGATTTCTTCACAATGGCAAAATCTATACAGCTGGTAATATATTTCTTTCTATTGATGGTTGATAATGATTATGTAATACCAACTTACCAAATGGTTCTTGTGCACAAGATACACTTGTTATCTCATATTTGGCAGATCCTTCGCCCGTAGCTGCAAAATTAAGCTCGGTGATGGGAAGAATATCATTCCTGGTGATAAGACCTCCTTCGAGGGATGACATTTCTCCTTTTGCATCGCAGCGACAGTTGGTTCCCTCTGGACATGTTCCCAGTAGCTTGCAGGCGCACACAGCCTCGTCTCCATTGTAGTTCTCGGCCAATGCCCAACCAGAAGATACGTTGCCCTGGAAGTCTTTGAAGTAACTGCCCTCTCCCATAAGACCAGCATTGTTGCATTCATAGTATAAGCCCTAAACATATCAAAATGTTTTTTTCAAAATGAATTCAGCATATTAATGTCTGCCAGTGATCATATAGTCAGATTTAGTAACAATATTGAATAATGGGAATAGCATGCTAGCTTAGTTAATTCCTCAAAGCAAAAAATATCCGGTACTTACCTGTTGACAATATGGGGATGCTTTTGCCAGTACATTAATCTGCTCAGGAGTGACTTCCCAATAGGTTATTGGTATAGAACCACCATTGTTAGGAACATCTTTGGGACCATTCTTGTTATAGACGGGAACCTAAATCATAGAAAGCGTTACAAATGGGTTTAAATGGAATGTTTATGCTATGACAAATCCATAAAGGCACATAAAAAATATAGGAACTTTGGTATACTAGTAAGTTGCAACTCACAATTGTTATGCCCTGTCCTGGTAATGTTGTGAAATCACATTTAACGTGCATAGGTGGCACACCACCTGCACCATCAGGGTCAATTGCATAGTGCTGGATGTTCCAGTACCTCTCACCAGCCAAAAGAATCTCGTGACAATTTTTGTGTAACCCTGTTTGGAAAGACGATAATGTTATGTATATGTAGCAAACGAGCATATGCAAAAATGGATACCATCTATCAGTATTGCAACAACTACATGATACCCATTACATTAGAACAATTGTTTTTTGGCTTTGTTGGTTAACGAACTGATTTAGTAGTTGTTCCTTTTATGTCTTTGTTGTTTTTATATTTTTTGTTTTAAACCCTGTGGTCCTTTAGCTTATATATTTTTACTACGTCCTGTTTTGAATAGTTTTGCGTTAATACATACTTGAGCACTCAAGTGGTCCTATGCTAAGTTCCCTCATTTGAGGTGTTACAACTGGTACACCGGCAAGCTTTACTCTGCTGACAGGAAGGTCTTCTTTGAAGAAGAGTCCACTACCATCAAGGTGCTGCTTGTCATCAAGCTCGCTACATTGACACGACTCACCCTCGCAACCATCGTTATCTTAATACAATAGTTTTCATTTTTCAAAAAGCAAAACTATTAAAACAAATGCCAAAATGGCAAGATCACCTCAAAGAAACCAATACGAGGTTAACCCACAAAACATTATTACGATTGTGGAATCCAAGTATAGTTAATATATGGATCGGTTGTTTCTCAAATGGAACCTGTTGTGTTTTTTCATTCTAAAATGTTCCACCCACCTCTGCTGCCTGCCCAATATGAGACAATCTCGCCATCTATGTCATACCATCCATACACATCACTGAGCACCAGATCGGAGTTGATACATGTGTAATTCATTTCCTGTGTGCAATATACTGTCTTTCCACCTGTGAGTGACTTCAACTTAGGAATATCAACAGCATTATACACAGGTGAAATATCCACACCATCTGTGGTCACATTGATGGAATCTGGTGTGTCGTGAGTCACGACCTACAAAATGAAGAACATTATATAGTTTTTTGTTTTTTTTAATATATGTACATTGATATTGTTTATTTCAATGACGTGTTGTATGCCACTTGTTCATCATGATGGAAGTTATTTAATATCATGATATCATGTAATTTGACAGTAAAGAGACATGAAACTGGTTGTTAGGGATATGATGTGCCTACCGTAACGCCCACTCTTGGTATATACGTCATGTCACAATATACAGGGAATGGGTCATTGTTATTAGCACCATCGGGATCAATCAGCCAGGGACCACTCTCAACATTACCAAAGTCACGTCGCTCTTGGCAATCCTTGGGGATACCTATCAAGAAATGGCAAACATTTTGAAATCAAATCGTTTGAAAAAAGCATCAGAACTCCACCACATATGAAAAAAATTGTTTTGCTCCTTTTTCATGAAGGATTTCAAAATGTTTATGGTATGGCTATGTGGAACCCAAACAAGAGATCCATTCTGAATATGTATATACAGTAGGTATGCTATGACATGCGCAAAGCTCTATTTAGTGATATTTTCATTTCAAAACTCTACTCACCATATTGAATAGGAACACATTCTAAATTTCCAAGTATGAAGCTTTGGCTTTTAGACCCAGTTTCATTCACTGGCAGGGGTTCATCACTAAGTCCAAGACATATCTGAAATCACATAATAAATGCTCTTGAACAAATGCGCATGCATGGAAATAGATGTCCCATAAACAGATAACCAGGCCCGACCCTCTTTCGTTGAGAGGGGCTCTAATTTGAATGCCAATTTGGACCAAAATTCCAATTTTACCTCGGAATTTCTCAAACCATATGTTGCAAAAACTGTGGAAGATAAGGAGTCGCATAATCTAAACCCTACCTGTGATACTGGTACATCAGCTTTATCAAAGAACAGGCCCTCGTCCTTTCTAAGATCTCCATCGTTCATATCACAATTGCATTCCATTGTAGATCCACCAACACATTTATCAACAGCCCCACATGCACATTCTGGAGCACCAGCACTACCTGCAAATCCTATAAACAGAAGGTAATATCCATTAATACATGTCATTTTGATACTCATTAGATCTTTTTGTTTCACGCTCATGGCTGAGAAGAAATGAGATGCCATGGTTTATTATGAAGAATACATGTAGCTACTTAAGTACTTCTAAAGTACACACGGTAGAAGTATGTATCTGACTGATGAGAACATGATAGAAAATAGAAAATTAGGGTTGGAAAATAAGTAAGGTTTCATACCTTCCATAGTTATGCCATCGATATTACTCCAGTTGCCATAGCCGGTAAATGGTGCGTATCTACACTCTACTTTAGCATACTGTTTGCAGAATCCTGATATCTTGACCAGTGCCTTGAAAAGTGAAACTGGATATTTAATATAAATATTACACATGCACATGATTTGCCTTTGTCCATGCTGCCTTAATCATCAATATCATAAATATTTGAAATAGTTTTATTGGTTTAAGCCGTACCTTGATTTGTTCAGGAGTAATGTCATTGCCATATGTAATGTTGGTACATTTGCTCTCAGGTGTTGGGTTTTCTGGGTTTGGTTCATCAATAATGTCAAAGCCAGTGCCATCTATTATAAATAGTGCATGTTCAATAATCAAGGAGTCCACTAAATTTTATATGTACACGGTATCATGCTAGATCATTATTTGTGAATCAAATAACTCTATAAACTATATAAATTAAATATGAGGTGATCTATCTTAGACCCAATGCATGGCAATAGTATAAATGACATAATTTGTGAATATTTCACAAATGTCCATGATCTGAATGAAAAATCATGAACAAGGCACAGACGTGAACAATATCGTACCTAAAACACAGCAGTGTGACAGTGAAGAATTTAGGACGGAAAATCCAAAATGGCCACCTTAAAATTTACCCAGAATGCCCAAAAACTAATCAGTTGTTAACTTTGATATGTAGAAACATCTCTGTAAATTTCAAATGAATCTGTCAAATGGTTTGGCTCGAAACCTGTAGACAAGTCTTGAAAGTGAAGATTTTAGGACGGAAAATCCAAAATGGCCACCTTAAATTTTACCCAGAATGCCAAAAAACTAATCAGTTCTTAACTTCGATACGTAGAAACATCCCTGAAAATTTCAGATGAATCCGTCAAATGGTTTGGCTGGAAACCTGTAGACAAGTCTTGAAAGTGAAGATTTTAGGACGGAAAATCCAAAATGGCCACCTTAAAATTTACCCAGAATGCCCAAAAACTAATCAGTTCTTAACTTTGATACGTAGGAACATTCCTGAAAATATCAGATGAATCCGTCAAATGGTTTGGCTGGAAACCTGTAGACAAGTCTTGAAAGTGAAGATTTTAGGATCTTTATTAGGTACGATAAAAACCTGTTACAATTATGTCAAGACATTTTATTCTAGCTAGAAATGGTGATTTTTTCTATTGCTGATGCATACTAGTACTTGTATATGTTATATCATTTTATTTTTATTTTGTTAATTATTCGCTTTATTGGATCTTTCTGGTTGACATTGATTGTTTTCAAGAGACCAATAAACTTTATATATTGTCATTAATTTTACGTTAATTGATGTAACATTGCATAGCAAAAATATACAAGATAACGTACGTGTAACAGGAATGATGGTCTTGTACCATTTAGTACAGATTACCACGAAAGGATCTACTCCTTCATTTATACCATCTGGATCTATGACGTAGTAGCCAGGCTCTACCGATGAGTAACCAATCACAGTTTTGTAGTATATATACATGTGGCTACACGACGGAAAGATTTCTACAATAAAATGTGTACAATTGATTTAAGATTAAGATTTAAACATGTTTAAGATGAGAACAACAGGTGAGGATGTCGCATGTTAACATGTCAACGCTGTAGATATATATGGAAATGATATAGGTTAAGATGAGAATGAGACGGGTGAAGATGAGATCCAGGTAACAATGGAAATAATGCATGTAAAGATTGGCTCAATATGTTCCCTCATTGTATACACATTGTTTATCTGTGATTCTAGCCATAGATCGCTTATTTTACACAAAATATACAATTGATTCTATGTTACAAAACATACCATAACATATCCGTCCTTGGTCGTCAGGCAGATCTTCACAATAAGGTGATCTCTTCTCCGTTGATTCGGGACCTGGACCTGGTGGTCCTACCCCAACACCAGGAGCAGGTTCACCTGTTCCGGTTGCACCAATCGGTGGCTCGTCCGTCATGTAGCACGTGGCCAAATATGGCATCACAAGACCTACATTATAAAACAAACAGACGTGTCTTTAATTATGCTATACCACATTGCCTGCTTTAGAAAACGTCAATTTTCTTTAGGGGGTTCTCTCGATTTTAAGCCAAATGGGTATCTTTGGCTCAGGTTTGGTACCTTTTTCGCTGATATGACAATTAACCCATATTTTTTAATTTCGGTATACCTTATGGTCATATCATACCTTTAGTATGGCAATGCTTGAAAAATTATTCAAATCGTTTTTATGAAAAGGAATATTGCCTTTATGAGTGATTGCTCTGTCACTTATTCTTAATTTTGGTATGAGAATGGCCATATTTTCAATTTAGTTTTTCTATGAGTTGTTTCGATAAAAATGTATGGCTACTGAGCAATTTGGTTTGTTGGTATGGCAATGCACAATATTGAAGCCTATAGGATCCCCGTCATTCACATTCTCTTGCTTGATGGTGATTATATCGGCAGGTATAGTTTAAAAAGCAATGCTTATTTTATGTTTCCATTTATACTTCACATGAACCTTACCATTTATTTCGTATTCGTCCTCAGTTCCATCTGGGTCAATAAGATACGTATAGGAGTATTTTTGACCAGTGTTTCTAATGTGCTGACATGATGGGGGAATACCTGCAACAGATATATATTTGAAACAAATTAAAGTTAGTTCCAGAAACTCGTTTTGCAGTCTTTTGTTATAAAGATCACAAGTTACTACAAGTACTGTACAAGTAACTCGTTTATTTGAACTGAGGGTACATTTAATAGCGTGAAGGAATAATATTTGTCATATGTTATATATGACTGTTGGCATCTAACTTACCAAATTGCAACGGTGCACATTGTAAACTTGTAATGTTATATGTGCCAGTACTATTTCCACCTAACTCATTCAGAACAATATTTCCTATGGGCAGATCAGTATTGTTGGTTATCAAAGCAATATCGTGCCTTTCCTTTCCATCTTTTATGTTACAATTGCAACCAACTGCTGGATCGTCACATGTTCCTGTTACACCACATGCACACTTTCCGTCCTCCCCAGAGGCACCGCGTAATCCACCACCAAAGTATGACAGCTTCTCTCCCGCGCTTGTCTCGAGGTACCCGGCGTCGCCTTGCAGAAGTCCCGAATTCTAATGAGTAGAATGGGCACAATTTTTACAAAAATAAATTATGGTGCTTCTGAACTTCATTTCTGCTTTTAAATGCTTATTCCATTCAGATTCCAGTGTTTGCACTTGTACTTCTAGACATTCGATTTTTGATCAGTTTTCACTTGTTATTATCATAAGGTAATTAGTTGTTGGTTTTATTGTATGCTGTATTTCAATATCGTAGTTTTAATTTTCTGTAAAACATCTTACCTCACACGTGTAATCGATACCTTGCATACAGAAATCAAATGTATCGAGGAACTTTTGAATGATGTCATCGGGTAGAGGGTATGTGATTGGGTTGTCGCCTGGAGTTGGGTTTTGTGGACCTGGCCTACGAATAACAACAACACAACTTAGAATTATTGTTTAAAGTAATTAAGATCGTGTTTGTTTCGGATCAGTCTTTGAATTTAGGATGTGTTAAGTATAGTCAATATAGTCCATTACATTATATTTAATTCATAAGCGTACTTATCATGTGGGAGCACGGTTATTCCAACATGTGGGAAAGATTCCATATCACAATACACCAAGAAGGGGGGTGTTTCACCGTCAACCCCATCGATGTCTATGTACAAAGGTCCATTTGTTGTTATACCATAGTTGAACTTGGCATCGTCGCAATGTTCGGGATAATCTAAAAATATTATAATCGTTTATTTGGATAAATACTTTTATAAGACATTTTCTCAGAGATTCCTATGATTAAATTCTAAATTTTTTTATTGCTGTCAATATCAACATTTGAATTTACCGAATGGTCTTGGACCGCATTTTAATGGTCCTAAAACAAATTCTGTTCGGCCTGATGTATCTTTAAAGTTGATAACTGTTACTGGGAGCTGATTCTTGTCTACAATCTTTCCTCCGTCTTCACCAGTCATGCTGGTTCCGTCACAGTTACAATGGCTACTAGGGTCATTGCACATTCCAAGCATTCCACACGCACACTAGAAATGCAATATGCCCTATTGTACTTGATGTCATGATAACTGATTTAATGTTGAATTATCGAATCGAGCTTACTCATACACAGACGGTATTCTTCAAGTGAATTTGGCCCAAAGTTGTCAAAGGAAAAAGCTGACTAAAGGGCTGTATTATAACTAAATGCATTTTGTGTATGCTTAATTGTGCAACTAATATTTTACATATACTAGTTGTACACACATATATCAAAACTAATGTAGACATGTACTCACCATCCCATCTTTTGGTGCTCCCCAGGCAAAGATATTTTCACTTTTACCATTCACTAAGAAGTCTCCCTCTCCAAGTACATTTTCCGGTGCATTACATACAAACCTGAAAGCAATAGTAGTATTGATGTTCAAGGAGTAATGTGACTTGTAAAAGTCCCACGATGGCTAAATGTTAACGTACAAAGAAGCACACCGAGTCAATCAGAAAAGCGATCAGAAAATATATATTTCAAGAAAATACCCCTTAGAGCTCCTTAGACTAGTTCCAGCTCGAACGACATGGGACTGGACTTATTTTAAGATATGGGACTAGGATTTCCTTCCAACACCATAAGATTAGATGATCCAATTACTTGTTGACTCGGTTCATAAATATATATGTAGAATAATTTTGTGAATGACATGGTATAGACTGTCACTTAGTAAAGTAGTGTTTCTACAGTCTATGTGATGGCGCATCTGCAGAAATCAAATAAATAGGATGTGTATATCACATGGTTTATGCTTACAGTATATTTTGATAGCAGAATTCTGAAATATCAACCACTGCGTCAACCTCTTCCACGGGATTTGTGTAGATGATGGGTTTTATGTAAATGTCTTGCAATGGTATTTTAATGGTGTTTTTGACGTTATGTGTTAGAATTGTCACTCCCATGTCATCCCGCATATCACACTGGACCTGGAAATGGAATCAATATAACATATCATAGTGGATAAACACTAGTGTCGAAAAACATTTTGGAAGGATTTAGACCCGGATTTAGATAACATCTGCATGTTTAAATGCAGTGTGGTTGTTTTAACTTTGCCCAGATCTGTGGCAAGGTTGATGTTTTTACGTTGATGCGTTTACCCTTATGGCACACGTATGTGATTGCATATTCATGAGGAAATGCTATCCCTTCATTTACTTACTGCAAAGGGGGGTAATCCTCCAGTGCTGTCTGGATCAATCATGTACACTCCACTTGCTGTCGTATTGTCAGCTAACCAGATATCGTGGCACGTTCTTGGATTATCTATAAACATAAACAGATACCATTGGGCTAATATTAAGTATGACCCACCCCCTCTTGATGTGGAGAATGGGGAAATACATTTTGGGCTCATTTACTCAAAAGTACATCATACATAACGAATATGTCACATATATCACACACATCTTATATCCTCAGACAGGGGGAAAGAGAAAAATAAAAATTACACCAACATAACGTACTGTGTATGTCACATACATGTCAGACGTATATAGTCTAATACAGCATAATTCTCGATAGAAGCAAACTTATTGCATTGTCCATACCTGAACATGTCTCTCCATCTCCGTTAAAGCCATCTTCACAGATACAGGTATAGTTTCCTGGATTGTTCACACACCTTGCGTTTTTGTCGCATAAAGTACTGTTGATGTCAATTGCGCATTCATCTATGTCTGGAATATAAATGTATTCTGAACATAACATGTAGTTGTATTGTTATCTAACATTCAAAACTGGCGTGTGATAGATTGGTGTATGTATTTGCTTTACATTGGCGATGAATTGGTCAAAAATAGGACGCTCACATACATTCTTGTTACAAAGGTGTATACTGAACTAAATGTCATGAAAAAGTGATGAATATAACTTTTGTGCATGTATAAAAGTCAAATGATAAAAGTTTTCATTATTTTTGCTTGACACAAGACATATGACTCATTACAATCAAAAACAGCTATTAAAATTGCAAAGAATTTGTGAATTTCTAAGTTAGGTATTTTTCAATATTGTTTCATTAATTTACTCGCATCTCACCAAAATATTAAATGTTATAAGAAGCCTTGGCAGTCTTTAGTGCATTTACAAAATGTAAAACAACATTTTGTAAAACAACATTTTGTCAATATCATAAGTAACGTTTTAATATACTTTTCCTCCCTTTAATTTGTGTAGAAGAAATATGTACTTGGTGTTTTTGATTCATATTAACATGTGTTTTAAGCAACTGTTATTTACTCGCTGCTTTCATTGATGATGTTGCAAATAATTGATTTTCACAATTACATAATTCAGAACATGAATTTTAAGATGTTAATGCCAGCTGGCTTGTGAAATATTGTAAGATTTATTGATAAATTATTTTCTTCAAATCATTTTGTTTAGCATGGAGCAAAATAGTTTACGAGTGTCTGGAAGTGAATCGAATGTCATATCCTATGGTATTATAACGTAGTAAACGTGGTCACATGAATCATATAAACGTTGATTGCAACAGACAGATAATCGAAGTTAGTTTGCCTCATGAAGTGAAAGTTCAAAATCTAATTTAACTAAAATAACAGCTTTTTAATTTGTGATCCTGGCACAACATCTCAATGTTTCCGTTGAATTTGTTGAAGTTTTTCTAGTCTTAGTCTTAGCCTAATACCGTCGGATACTGCTGTATTGTTTTGAGATTCGTGAGGTAAAACTGACGAAACAACGCATGGCAATTATGGTTGGGGAATAATAATGGTTAGATAATATTCGAAACCAAATAATTTCCTTGATAACTGCTGTTGAATTTTCGTGTGGACGTGGATGTAACTTTAGAAAAATACCATTTTAATAAGTCATCTATTTTGACCATAAAATTGATTCTTATAATCATCGTGTCGACTTTCAGGTGTCTTCCAACCAATGCTCATCCATGGTGTTTTGTAAGGTTATTCCATGCAGATTAATTGACAGTACAACAAACCATTTGAAGTATAGATTTCGCAAAAATGAACAATCAATTGACCATCGATTGATTCTCTTAAATCAAGTACATACCGGTGACCTATTTTATAACAGTAATCAAATCCCAACATGACGTTTTCCGTCAGTGTGAACGCAACCAATATTGATAATTTCTGAATATATCAATGTTTGACTATGTCTTTATTTCATTTGCGTATCTATTTTAAGTACGGTTAATCTATATTTCTTATTTAAATGTTGAATGAACCATTACTGAATGTAATCTTGGCAACAGTTTGGCCGTAGTGGCCTGTATCGGAACGTGACGTTTTTATGGAACTTCTAATTAAATCTCAATTTTCATACTGTTCAAATAGTAAGACCATTCTCAGAAATGTGTAGGGGTATTTTCCATTCACGTGAACTGAACGATGATGGTGGCATATGTGTTCATATTTGTTCTTTCTCGATCGCTCTACTGACACTAATAAGATGCACATCCTATCTATTGACCTTTCATTTAATATTGCAGGCTTTTTCTTGATTTTCTTGATGTTTACCTGTGCAGTATTTGCCTGTGCCAACATATCCTTCCTTACAAGTGCAGAGTAAATCCAAACACGAGGCTTGTACGTGACAGTCGGCATCCGACACACATGCAGCAAGAGCTGCAAATAAACAAAAGCATTACGTTATACAACTTACGTGAAAATAATTATAAGATAAGACTTAACTACAAAAATACATTCTCGAACTTTTTAGAATTAATTCAATCGAAGTGGTTCTCTTTTTATATATTACATTGAAACTGCGTGTAATACTCACGGACACAGTCCTTCGTAGGGTCACCAATGTACCCATCTTCACATTCACATGTATAGCTCCCCTCTTGGTTGATACAGTTGGCGTTCTCGGGAGCACATGGTTGCTGGAGAGTTTTACATTCGTTGATATCTGCAATTGCAAATACGTTGTACATTATGGTTTTGTTCTTCTTGGTTTAGACAAAAGTGTAAGATTTCAATTATATGTCATTCAGAGTAATATCTAGACATACCTATACATGCATCTTTTCCGTCTCCTTGGTATCCGGGTTTACATCTGCATTGCCCTCTGTTGCATTCGCCTAACGTAGTGTGGCATTCATCGTCACTTGAACAAGGTGTATTACCTATTGATGGACAATCATATATTTTCAATATTCTCAATTTAGATTCATTTGTGAGTCGCACTTGAACAAGGTGTTTTACCTATTGATGGACAATCATATATTTTGAATATTCTCAATTTAGATTCATTTGTGAGTCGCAATCGTTTTGTTGGTAATAAATAGTTTTATTATCCTGACCATAGCGAAAAAACTCACGGTATTTGCAAAGATATTGATACTCCAGACTACAATTGCCATCAGCCCATTTTAGATGGTCTGGATACGCTGCAGTCCCATCAATGTAGACACAGCTTCCTGGAACCCCATCATCTGGTTTCCCTGGCAACCAGTTTGAGTATGAGGAATTAGTGAGGTCCGTCCATGAGTATATATCTGTTTGGTTAACGTCTTCTTTCAACCCTGAAATCATTTTGTTGGTGGACTTTATTATAGATTCAATAACTGTTACAATTTCTAGAACTGTGTTTGCAATTTATGCTTGCCTTGCGCAAATTTTATATTATCCATATCCATGTAGATACCTTAAAATCTACAATTTATAACTTTGAAGAAGCTGGTTACTTCTCTTTCCGCGTGTAGATACTTATATTTTTTATCATCATCTATAGTTCGGAAGCTTTATTTCCAACCCTTATATACATGTAGGTACCTCAATTTCATTGTTCATAATTAAGAAATGGTTTACCTATCCATAGCTTCTCAGATTCAAGGCCATTTGACTGGAGAAATTTAGCAATAGCATGTTGCTCTCCGAGAGAACCTATGCTCATCAGATCTCCTCCGAGTGACCTACAGTTTTCAAGAGCTCCCGAACCGGTCTTTGGATCAGTTTTCATTTTGATACATTCATCCCCAAGTCGCATCTGTCCAAAGGGGCAATCTTCGTGAACTAAAATAACAGGACAACTATGATGTGTAATGCTCACAAATTGACTTAGAGGCTTTTAAGTTTCTCGGGGTTCTCGCTGATTCAATAAAATGTTCTTGTGTTCTATCCTCTTTGATTATTTGAGAAGTTTATGTTAAAGAACGGGCTAAGAAACTGGGAAGGATAAATATGGAGGCGCATCAAATGAAACGATGCAATATTCCGTGTGGTGCTACTGTTCTTACCATTTTGGTTCTTTTTACACACGAATCCTAGTTCTGTATTACAAGCTATATTTTTCCAGGTACTCGTCGTTTTGTCTAGTGATGCACATGGTGAGGTTCCAAGAGGATATTGCTCGCCCCAATTTGTGAAATCAAAAGCTTCTCCGTCCGCCCAAGCGAATACACCATCCTGTTCATTAAGCATACCGTCGTCGAACCCAATCCAGAAATCGGTACCTTGTACATTAAAGACCCTAGAAAATAAGATTACAATAACAAATTAATCTGTGAAGTACCAAATTCTGTATGGATGTGACAATTAAATTATTTACATCAGTCTACTACTTGGTACCTTCTATATCAAGGACATAAAAACATGTAGCAATGATACCAGTTCATAAAGTAAACCATGTCCTTCAATTTAGAACTTGTTTTGTGGATTAGGATGAGGATGCGCATTAAAGAAGTTGTGCATGGACATGTACAAAATATATGTCGATGGTAGACTAAATAAAATAACTAAGAATATCTAATTTTAAACAGTGAGACACCATTATCTCAATCGGAAACCACAAGATCATGATATATAAAAGGATTGCTGAGAGAAAGAAATAATGCAAATTGGGTTCGGATAGTTACGCTCGTATCTTGATTTCCAAACAATGATTGTATTCCATGTATGGATCAACTTACTGACTATCAACGAAGGCTTGTTCCTCTGGAGACCCGATTGAAACAAGACTTGCTCCATTTGCAGCGCATTGTATGTATGCCTCCAGGTATGGCTTTGGTTCTTGTGATGTGTAGTAACATTCCCCAGTCGTCTCTCTGTATGACCAGCCATCGGCGCATGGTTGAGGAATCAACGCTAGAAATCGGTAGATGGTAGAAAATGGTAATACACGTCGCACGAAACTGGGGACAATTAGAGTAACATTATGGCGTCAAAATACCAAACAATACAATGGGCAGTATAGGGCGCAATCAGCATTATAACGTCAAAAACGACAAGCGTTACATTTTGTCAATTTTAGTCAACCTAGAAATAAGATGCTTTCTTCTTATTCAATCCTGGTAAAATTCACAGAGCAACAAGATCTCGAGGACAATATTTCTAAAATGTTTTTGATTTTTGAAAAACGGTCAGGAAATCCAATCGGGGCGTTAGCAAAAATTGATATGTATGAGATTTGTGGTAAAAATCGATGCGTTACATTTTTTCAAGTCTCTAAAAACAACTCTTATTTTCTTATTATTTGAAGAATAAAGAAATCGGTTATTGTTTTGTAAATTTCCCCATGACAATATTGTGCAGTTCAATTTTTTTTGAAATCAGACCTAAATTAGAAGGTTAAATAAAGGTAAACTTATTGCTTGTCTCCTTCGCCTTCAAAACCTTACACAATTTTGAAAACTTTAAAAGCGTTCATATAAGACGATTTGAACTGTAGCCGCTAGGCAATTGTGACGTCATAAAAGCACATGTTTCAATGAATAAAATGTGAAATTTTAGTAAAATTCTGATCAGTATTTCAAAAGTTATCCCGAATTCAACGAACCGTGTAAGCATGGAATGTTACGTCTTACAGCGTATTTGACGATGTCGGAGTACATTTAACTTTAAAAATATGGTAGATCTCATCAAACTTTTCAAGGAAAAATGATTTCAGTGAAATGCGAATAAAAAATACTTCAAAATGATATATAATGCACATAGTTAGCTTTTTAAATAAGGCAGATATTAACGCTTGGAGTTGAGATTAGCCCGTATTTCCCGAATTGTCCCCAGGTCCGTGCACGTCATATAAACGTTTTTCATTTCTAGTTGCCCACAAATTTGAAATTGATCAGTATTATATAGGGTTTTGTTGAACTGTTTATTCATTGTGGTGTCCCTAGTTCTCACATAGGCGTCATTTAAGACAATTTTGTAATAATACTTTATTCGGGATTGTTAATATTGACTTTATTTCCTTGACTATGAGCCCGACTATGAGCCATGGATTCAGACCAATAAAGACTCAAAGGGATTAAGATAAGGGTTCTAAAATAATTCAAATTTACAATACAATGCATAATTTCTTACGTTTCTTGCAAATGTACGGTAGTGCCTTCGTGCAGTTCTCTGTAAAGAACATCTTGGTGTCTTCGTCCCCTGTATTTACGCCGAAGCTTACACAATCTTTTGAATCTGCGCCATCTGTCGATGGTTCACCTTCGCCCCAGTTGTTTATAGAACGGGCCACACCATTGTCCGACCACGCAAATGTTCCTTTAATTATAAAATATCCCAATTTTTCTATGGAAACAATTAATGAGGAGTTGTGAGATAATAAACAAATCAACAATTTCATATCCATCGAAATATACATACTGTATCACCCTCTGTAAACAAAACGGGTACTTGGTCCTTTATCAATCAGGACATTTTCAATAGCTTTAGTATTCTTTAGTAAAGATAGGATGTTTTGCAACCATTTTGCTCAATTAAAACATTTAACATATTGTTGTATTCACATCTGACATTTTCGGTATGCATTAGATTGTGTAACATATTTATGGGTGATTGAGAAAGGCCAAGGGTTATAATTATATATTTCAAGTATGTTACACCTACCCCTAATTTTGAAATGGGGAGGGATCTCTGAATCTAAATGATATATTTCGTGAAAGTATACATACATTGTACCTCTGAATGATTTGTATGATAATACAGATTGAGAAAAATAAAAACAATATGACCGATAAAGCACCACTTTTTTCAATTTACAGAGTATAGGTTTTGATGGCGTTCATTCTTACCTTCCAAGTTCGAGTCCGATAACCCGACCCATGCATTACCAGACATCATTGCCGAAGCTTCTAGTTCTAGCGTTTCTATGGCTTCATCCGTCAATAAGGATGCCAGTGATCCACCTGTGAGTATAACAAGTGATTTACATCTAGAATGGGTCAAGAATCAATAAGTATTCAATAAGTTGTTTTTTAGATGGACTGGTTTGGGTTGGCGAAGTACTTCTCGTACATTCTCATTCACACAGCTATTAATTTTGGAATATTTTATGGGATAACAGAATACTTGCAAGAATCTTATGCTGAAATTTAACATACCATTTTTCTCGCATTCTTTCTTAGCATCGTCAAAGGATTTTGGCTCGTCATGGACGTTATAGCAGTACTGTCCAACTTGAACCGGCATCGCCTCGGGACATGTGGCTAAAATGTATTAAAGGAGTGGTATCGATATGGAGAACTGAATTCAACAATGTTTTTCTCTTAAACAAATCATTGAAAACATTCTGTAAAAAACACGGTATTTTATGTAATGTTGACTGATTGACAACAATTTAATGCGAAAATTATTTAGAACTATTTTATATAACTGTTTTTGTTAACATTTTTGTTTTTTAGTGCAATTGTTTTTGCTCCTTTCTACCAATTCTTGAAAATAAAATAAATTGTCTTTCCGAACCTTGTTGGAACAAAATAGCATATACAACATGTTTTTAGACCTCTCAATATTATAGTTATACAAAGGAATTTTGGTTGATTTTGAAAGAGTATTCAAAAAATTAAAACAAAATCCCCCCAAAATAGATAAAAATCAAGATAAACCTTTTATTTCAATAACAATATACTTTTTTAAAATCAACCAAAATTTCCTTTGTACAATTACAATATTGAGAGACCTAAATATGTTGTGTTTATGTCGTTTGTTCCAATGACGTTCGGAAAGATGTTTCATTTCACTCTGGAAACATGATACCAAGAACAAAACAAGTGTTTTATGTGTTTTCTAAAACAATATAGATGAAAGTATACTATATATATTTCATATTATATTGTTACCATTCAAAAGATGATCATTAAATTGACGATGTGTTAAATTTTTAGATTTTTTTATGACTGGTTTAAGAGAAACGTGTGTTCAAAAAGTTCTCCATATCGATACCACTCCTTACGTATCTGTATTTATGGAAATGTGATGTTGTAGTTTGATATTGCAAGCTGAGAATTAGCTCGACTACACATGTACATGTACACATGTACATGGTTTTTGTAACTATGGCTAAAATTTTACCTACGTGGTATTTGTAACTATGGCTAAAATTTTACTCACGAAATGAGCACCCTGTGTTTCCGGGTCCTCTTTTGCCGTTACCAGTTGCACCCTCCGGGCAGATGCATACATAACCTCCTTCTTCGAGGTCTTTGCATGTTGTACCTGGTAAACATGTCAAATCTTCGTGGATACTGCACCCAATACTCTCGTCAACTGAAATAGATGGAGTACAAAAATCATCAAATCTATTATCATTTTGATTTGAAGATATGATCAATCAGGCGTCAAATAAATTATTTGTTAATAAACAATTCGATTTTTGCAGTTTCTACATCAGACCGATACATTATACGACCAAAATGTAGATAACTTACACACGCAAGCTGTTCTATTATCACTAGGGACAAGATATTGGTCCGCATCACAAACGATGCATTCAAAGCTGCCCGGTGTGTTTTTACAGATTGTATTGTTCTGGACGGTACAGTTGGTGCTTTCAATTGCAATTTCGGCACACTCGTCGATATCTGAAAGCAAAGTGAAAATAGTGTGACAGATTCATTCCGCATGTGGCTCATTCTGATGGCCCCTCAATTTCCCGGCCATATGGAAATGATTAAGCTTGCACATAAAAATCGATACATAAGGATTATGTACTGGGAGGTTTTGGATATGGGGTTTATCCAGAGGGAGATATGCATATTTACCTGAGGGACCGTAGGGACCGAAGGTAGATGTGTATTTATTCCATAATACTACTGTTTTCCCAGGGAAATATGAAGGAATAAAAATCGTATTGAATCGTATTACATGAAAAAATCGTATTGTCCCCGGGAAAAAAATCGTATTGGAGCGTATTACATGAAAAAATCGTATCGTCCCCGGGAAAAAATCGTATTGGAGCATATTAACCTATTTTCGGTTTCCCGGTTATTTTTTCCCAGTTATCTGCATTATCCAAATGTAGCATTTTAGAGGGGTGTATTATGGAATAAATAGGTTATTTCTGGTCGGGATTGAATATGGGTTTTATACCTCGGAAAATATGATATTGACCTTGGGCTATATGATATTGACACTCGGTCGCTGCGCTCCCTCGGTCAATATCATATTACCCTTCGGTCAATATCATATTGTCCCTCGGAATAAAACCCATATTCAATCCCTCCTAGTAAATAACCTATATATCTCACGAGGGATGAACCCAATATCCAAACCGACCGTACATAACTGCTTTATCCTATACCAAGTTGAGTTTTCAGGGGCATATGGCTATTTCAATAGTACAAGTTGTAAAAATAAACAAATCATCCATATGCAAAGTCATTTTATTGCATTTCCACTACTTACCGGAAGCGGGAAGATATGCACCGAAGCGGGAGATATGGAGGTTCTGGATATGGAAACCTCAAAATCAGGATACGGGATATATCTTACCAACTTATCTCCCTAAAACTCTACTTGGCATAGGATAAGTGAACGTATATTCAAATGGGTTTTGTGCACATAGATTGGTCGTTCAGCTAAAATCGGAAAATCTTGTACTATATACAGAAATCAAAGAATCCTAGCATAGTATTCGATAAACATGAATAAAAACATTCCCGGAGAAAGATAGTCGTAAACTATCCCAGATGGGTTCATATATATTTAATTGATAGACGTTCACGTTCTTTCAAAAACGTTACTCAACTTGTATAATGTTTGTCTCGTGGTACAGTAACGAGAGAGCTCATTATTTCAAGAGGACACATTTCATTTGAATTGTTTTGGTATGGTAATCATTATTTCTAGGTTGTTGTCTCTACTCACCCTGACAACCAGTACAATTGTCACACATGTGCCCATCGCCGACAAATCCGTCATGGCACTCGCAGTAAAAGAGTCCATCTCCTGCCGTGTCATTCAGATTGATACAGCTAGCATCGTTCACACAGCTGTCAGCGTTTACCGCACATTGGTCTATGTCAGAAGCGACAGCGGCTGAAATGATTTCTACAAATTGTAAATTCGTGGATTACCAGTGTAATGAACATGATTACAGTTTATAATTTTTAATTATGGAATGTCATTGTTATGATCGAACATTTCGTCGTTTTCAAATTGAAAATATGGGATATCAGCGTTGTAGACATTATTGACGCTTATAATGCAAATCCTGCTTTCTTTAATTCTTTCTGAAATGAATCGATTTACTGTTTTTTATTACAGAAGAACATTGGATTTTAAACAGTTTGAATTGAAGAAATAATTAGTAAATAAATATCACTGCAAGTTTGTCTACTTACAATCAGCGCCAGCCTTATTATGCGCCTTATTTATGATTTCAATGTAACTAAAGCTAGAACAAATGTGCTGTTTTAATTTTAATTAAAAGCAAAGATTGTAGGCTTGCCATTAAAATTCAAATTAAAACCATATAAAATAAACTTACCAGTTGTGCAAATTAATATAAGTAGACATATCTTTAAATTAGGAACCATCTTCCAAGCAGATAGTTAGAGTCGTGTCTAACCTGCCTTTGTCTTAGGAAGATTTTTCTAAGTGAAATCTGTTAGTTCTAGAAAATCTTCATATGATTCAATTTCTTAAAAAACATAACTTTAAATCGATCTATTTACCTTAGGATAGTCGCATCTGTTGCTTGGTAAATCATCGTTTCTATACCGAAAGCACTTTTCGATAGTAACTTAAGTTCTTAAAATACATAGAAACCCATTGTCTCTGACGTACATGGCAGTTCTTTACTAAGAATGTTTATTTTAATTAAATTAAGTGCTGACTGTATTTATCTAAGTGTCCCGGAAACAAGGAAGTTTTTTGCAAAAAATGAAAAATTGACTTTAATTTAAATCAAGTAGGCATATATTTGTATAGTATGTATAGTTGCACTCCATTCGTTTTTATATCAGTTAGATAAATTGTCACTTTTCAATTTGCATTTTAAGTATGATTTTGTTTAGTTGTGTAAGTACATAGTGATCAAGAAGTTTTCATCAGAGATGTTTCAATTTCAATTACTATTGTTATCGAGCTGGTTCAGCTTAAGATTAAAATCCAGCGAGTTGATTGGTCAATATCATAATTGCTAACCTATGGTTACTTCGGGAAAGATGTAGTGATCAATTTTGAACGTATTTGAAGGCCGTGCTTTTAAAACTGCTGCGCTATACCAAAATATGTAGACGCAGCGATGGAGGGCTGCAAGGGACATCTATTTGGAAAATAGGGACAAGAATGCTAAAAGATCTGGCGAAACAACTAGGCATATAGTTGAATACTTTTAATCTTCTCACAGATATGGGCATCCAAAATACGCTCGGTAAACAAGGGACTATGTGTATAAAGCAACGTACAAATAGGAAGTCATTTTTGTTTTGCTTTCAATGTAACATATTTGGGGGAAATCTGTACAAAGTTAATGATAGGTTCATTTGTATTAAAATGGGGTATATTTTTCCTTACTTCTTGATCACCCTTTAAATAAAACTTACCTCTCCATTCAAGTTGAGCACATCTGTAGAATGTCGGCAACAGATGGGGAAGGTAGAAAATTACGAAGATAAAACACATAAAATATTTAAGCACAAAATTTTCCTATACTTAAACACAAAAAATGATTTGGTATAGCTATAATAAGATTCAAAATATATTATTAACAAGTAACGTACATGCAAATATGATACTTCCACATTTCATACAAGTACATCCACACGCACGCACGCACGAACGCACACACTCACACAAACGCACACACATCGACCGACTAGATGACTCCATTCTTTGTTGTGTGTGGCTTACATATACACATTTAGAGGATCAGTTCTTGATCATTGTTGATGTGAGACGACATGATCTATGCACAACCTGTCTGACCTTAATATTTTGTTGAGATAGTTTCCGCCATTCTTATCCATCACTATAGTTGATACGTGTGGTTGAATTTGGTACCAACGTATTACCAATTAAATACGCGAGGTGGCAAATCCTCGTTGATGTGGTCTCAATTCCTAAAATAAGAATAGAAGGCTGCATTGTCTCTTCACTTTTACTTTTATAAAATGCTTTTAACAAAATTCTGAAACACCTCTGTATGTATGTTCAGATCTTTTGAAGTTGTCAGACATAAAATCAATGACTCAATCCTTTATCTGTGCCTCCTTATAAATATGGACACGCCAAAAAGTCACGGATCTTTTTATTATTTCACGATAGCTTGAATTTAAACAAATAAAGAAGTGAAGGATTACACGTCAACCCCACAATGCATATAACTAAAACAATAAAAGATTTCTTACGAAGTTTTATCAAATTGTCTGTTTCATAAATTCTTAAAACAAAACATCGCATATAATATTGGAGGTCAAAACCCCATGCCCTGAAAGTAATCTATGACTACAGTACATTACCAGAGCTTTTAAATCAACTAATTTTTTGTTTTGTTATTTATTTATTAAAACCATGTAAACGTATTTACAAATTGATGAAGTCAACACGGATTGATATATTCTGTTGAAAACACATGATTGAAAGAAAGCACATTTTACTTGTTATTTTATATGATATGCATAAATTATACATTTTCGGATAAGAATGTTTCTAGATTCGGGCAATATTTTCCACTCTTCATACTCAATAAAAAAACAATTAAAACAGGATAATCCAACTTAAACATTTGTGTTATTGGATCCCTTTCTCAATAATATATCAAACGTCAGGGGATTTTGAAGGAAACTACTTTATCTTGCTACTTTTAACAAGAATCATTCTCATACTTTTGGAACAGAGTTGATGAAAGTATGTTTTTCAGACTTATGGTAATTCATTTGAATTCAAGACAAACACTTCAGTAAACCGTGGTGGCGAGAGATCTCATATATCGGATTAAAAAAGTATAATCAATATCATTTATTTGCTCTTTGACAGATTTATACTTGTAACCAACATCATAAAATGTTGATTTATAGATTATGACAGCTGTACCTTTGGTAATGTATTGACGTTCTTCATGCAAAACCTTCAACAAAAAATATTCCTTACAATTTTGTTTACAATCGGAGTTCAAGAGAAGTTAATTGCTTTTGAATAATTACTTAACAATAATTCCCGATAACAAAAACTTGTAAAGGAGGCCGAAACCTAAAGATAAATAGTTATCGTATTTTAAATAATCAAACGGCCGGAAATCGCTTTTGCTTTATATTAGAATTATATTGCTTAAAACTATAACCTTTTATTACAAAGCATAATTTCTGGTGAATTATCAAATGGTTCCAAGGCCAAAAGAAGTTAATGTTTAAAGATCAATATCTTATTCTACAGATCCTCAGGCAATAATTAAGAAAAACAATCAAAATAGAAAAGAATAGAATTATCTTTTACTGGAGTTTATATTTATAAAGTGATTTAAAAACTAAGCACAGAAAAGACACACACCTCTTCCCCTAAAATGATAAGCCAGCAAATCGCTTAAATATCACCAATGCGGGTATAGTAGAAAGTTCCCTTTAGCTTAACGGAGTGGCTCCAGGACCGACAATTGTCGGTACTGGAGACTGTTCAGGGGTATTTGCTGAGGTACCGACAATTGTCGGCACTCTATCGTCACCTAGTAGTGCCAGATAGAGAACCGACAATTGTCGGTACGCAAGTGGCTGCTACGTGTTTTTGCTAGAGAGCCGACAATTTCATAAATAAATCCACTACTTTTACTCCTTGCAATAACCTCATCACTTGTAGTCTAGTGGTTAGCGAGCACGACTTTAAAACACTCGGTCCCGAGTTCGAATCCCGGCAGGACCTACTTTTTTCTTTTGAGGGGGGGGGGGGCATAGTGCTTCTTTTGCAGTATGGAATCGTACAGGCATTAACTTGTAGTGAGCCATAATTTATTTCGACAAAAATTGATTCAACTTCCATCAAAATTGTCCTACAAGCTTCAATTAAAAAACATTTTAAAGCTCTTTTCTTGTTCTATCAAATGGGTCGATATATACAGTTAGGGGAGGGGATGCTTTCGCCCCCGTCGACCTCTACCCTTACTATACGCCATGGCACAGGAGAAATATCTCATTTGGAATATATCACTGTTTACTTTGCGTTTGGTAGCTCTCTCATGCGAGATTGAATCGTGGCCATTAACTAAGGGAGCCAAATGCAACTTCCATCAAAAATTGTGCTATAAGGTATGAGTACCGTAATCCAACACCAAATTCGAAAATTCATAACAATACTTTGCACATATGGCGTTCGTGACCAACTATGAAACGCTTACCCCCCATAGTGTTATATATCAAAATGCACCTGTCCATATAGGGGTTCGATTGACCTACATCAAATTATAGGGAGTCAGGTTACTTTTTGAGATATCAGCGTCTGTTTATTGTAACTCGCGTTTGCTACCACTTCCTCAATTCTGATATGACGGGCAAACGCGTAGTAAACATGCTCACGTTCGGAACTATTTTGACCTTCATCGCTATTTTCGTAATTCAAATTAAAGTTGAACTCCTCTTTATTTTGATACCAAATAGTGGCATACTAGGTACCCTAGAAGCCAACTATGGGTTATTTAGAACGATACCACAGGTTTTTAAATGGACTATATAGGCGGACTATATTGGCGGATGGATATGGAACCTCATACCATACGATAAGCTTCAAATAAAAAACATTCTAGCTATTTTCTTCTATCTAATGGGTAGCAAACGCCCCTTTCTACGCCTGATCGGCACAGGAGAAATATCCTGTCTGTTACGAATATATATAGCCGTTTACTCTGCATTAATAGCTCTCTAACGTCTTACTTGTTCATGTTTTTTATTTGGTTTTCAACGTTTACTACCATTCCCTGTTCCCGGGCTACCATTTTTTGACTGGGTTTGGTAATCCCCGGGTAACCGGGGCTAATGCCCTCCCCGGGTTTTGCACTTGTTCCCAAAATATCCGTATAATATCTGAAATATCCCCCGCCCATTGCGCATGCGCCAGAAAATTCGAAAATCAATATTTGTCGGTCCTCTAGCGTGTAAACACAGCATATCTGCCGTACCGACAATTTATTTGTCGGTCCTCTAGCGTGCCACCACATCAGAGTCTAGAGTACCGACAATTGTCGGTACTCTAGCCTTTACGTTAACTTAAATTACATCTGTTTTAGTGGTTCAATTTTCATATAGCCCTAATGTATCGAATAGTTATGGAAATTAAAGTGTGTCCAGTAAAAGAAAATGTTATAATGTGTCAAATACAAGAAAAGATATTTCACTTTTTGTGATTTTGTAATATGGGGTCTATGGGGAATCAACCCGAACTAGAAGTCACATTTTCAAAAAATATTAAATTTTCAAAGTTGATAAACAATTTTCGAAACCATATTTTTAAATGTATTTCAAATATGACATCACTTTGACTGAATTTTGAATATTTAATGACGTAAATCAAGAACATTTCTACTCGCATCTAGTCTATTGAAGCGATGGTT